TTCTTGAAGAGCTGCTATTCAGGCTGGTGAACAGAATTTCCGTTTTGAAAGACTTCATTCATTCTTTATTCTGTGTTTTCCTGTGCTTTTTCCCCCGACGTGTAGCTTTGCGGTGTTATAATTCTGGAGCATGTTTGTCTGTGGTGCATATTGGTGCCATTTAAGCATGTTTAAACGTGTTTCACATAAAAACTTTACCTGTATATTAAGTCAGAAATGCAATGAGGATGAAACTGCTTTGTATTCTGGCTAGGGCAGGGAGTATTGTTGCTTTTGTGGCTTCTCTCCTTCCTCTTTCTTCAATCTCTCTGCCAGGCGGCTTGAAACTCTGCCTGAGGTATTATTTCAAGGACAACTCTGGATCTTGTTTCACAGAAACTTGTAGAACTGGTCAGGTTAGAAAATATATATTTTCACTTCTTTGGAAGTGCAGAGACTTTGCCACTAGAGGACCCTGTTGGCCTGTGAAACCAAATGCTTTTAAAAATATCTGACCTAGACAGCTCATTTTCCTTGATGTCGTCCAGATTTTCATCACATTCCATGTAACGAAAGACCCATGACCTTTCCCCTTAGTGGAGCACTCCACAAAAGGAAATTTGAAGGAAGTTTTATCCAAAGATGCCTAAAAGGAAGGTTTAAAATCCAAGGAAGGTGCAGGCCCCGTGAATCCCTGTTGTTTTCCCTCTCTGCAGGAGCTAAGTGTGGCTCTGTACAGGCACCTCCTCGGCCTTCCGGAGGGCGAAGGCAGCCGGGATGAGCCCGGAGCTGGGCAGGATCTGAACCTGCTGTGCTGTGACATCGATGCCGAGTTGATCGAGCGGGCTCGGAGCTCTAGCCCCTTTCCTGCCTCCATATCCTTTGCCCAGCTGGACATCATGGATTCTGGGGCCAGGGAGCCCTTGCTGAGCTCCCACCTGCGCCGCTTCGGCCGCGCCGCCTTTGACATTGGCTTCTGCATGTCTGTGACCATGTGGATCCACCTGAACCACGGGGACAGCGGCCTGGTGGCCTTCCTGGCCTTCCTGGCCTCTCTGTGCAGGTACCTGCTGGTGGAGCCCCAGCCCTGGAAGTGCTACCGGGCGGCCGCGCGGCGTCTCCGCAGGCTGGGCCGGAATGACTTCGATCACTTCCGCTCCCTCGCCATCCACGGGGACATGGCGGCCAGGATAACGGAGATCCTGACCAAGGATTGTGCCATGGACCTGGTGTGTTGCTTCGGGAGCACCAGCTGGGACAGAAGCCTCCTGCTCTTTAAAGCAAAGGGCTGGAATCCTGAGGACAGGGAGCCCTTGGAGCGGGGCTGTGATTGACAGGAATGACCTCTCACTCTCATGGCTCCTTGGGAAAGAAGGTGTGTGCTGGTAACGGAGTCGGAGCTGGGAATTGCTAAATGCCTCCCAGGAGCCTATCTTGACCCTCTAAGGGAATTTGGGGCAAGTCAAATCTGTCTTTTTTGCTTGGTTTTCATCCATCAGACAGTCCCTGCCTTGTGGTTCTGAGATTTCCATTCCCAGAAAGTGCGCTTCAAGCAAACGCTGCCTGTGCATCTTGTCATGTTGTCTCCATGAAATACTCCAAGAAAACAC